GAATAATACAGTTAGAAGGGACCTTGGAGGTCATCTAGTCCAGGGGTAGTCAACCTTGGCTCTTTTATGACTCGTGGACTTCAACTCCCAGAATTCCTGAGCCAGCATAGTTGAAGTCCACGAGTCATAAAGGAGCCAAGGTTGACTACCCCTGATCTAGTCCAATCCCCTGTTCAGGAAGAAAACTCTATACCATTTCAGACAAATGGCTGTCCAGTCTCTTCTTAAAAACTTCCAGTGTTGGAGCATTCACTTCTTCTGGAGGCAGGTTGTTCCACTGGTTAATTGTTCTAACTGTCAGGAAATTCCTCCTTAGTTCCAGGTTGCTTCTCTCCTTGGTTAGTTTCCACCTGTTGCTTCTTGTCCTGCCTTCAGTGCTTTGGAGAATAGCTTGACTCCCTCTTCTTTGGGGCAGCCCCTTGAGATATTGGAAGGCTACTATCCTGTCCCCCCTCATCCTTCTCTTCATTAGACTTGACATACCCAATTCCAGCAACTGTTCCTTATATGTTTTAGCCTCCAGTCCCCTAATCATCTTTGCTGCTCTTCTCTGTACTCTTTCTAGAGTCTCAACATCTTTTTTACATCATGGTGACCAAAACTGGATGCAGCATTCCAGGTGTGGGTAATGTAGCCAGCTGAGGCAATCCTTGTGCTACTGAACAATTCTTCTACGTGTATTCTTAAAATTCTATTCTAGAATTCTATTCTTATTCTATTCCTATTCTATTCTAATTCTAATTCTAATTCTATTCTAATTCTAATTCTAATTTATTCTATTCTAATTCTATTCTATCCCTATTCTAATTCTAATTCTATTCTATTCTATTTTATTCTATTCTAATTTTAATTTATTCTATTCTATTCCTATTCTATTCTAAATCTATTCTATTCCTATTCTATTCTAATTCTATTCTAATTCTAATTCTAATTTATTCAATTCTAATTCTAATTTATTCTATTCTAGTTCTAATCTAATTCTAATTCTATTCTTATTTCCATTCTATAGTTCATCCAGGTGTTGTTCAGTTAAGGCGTTTTTATCATCTCTTCTGACTTGCCCTTTATCTGAATTCCTACTTGTGATAATTAAGATAAAAAAGACAGCATGAAAGCAGACAAATTCTTAGCAAAGGCTCATCTGGATTTTTCAATGATTGATCAGCAAAGTCATTAAACCATCTCAAAATCTTCTCTGCTACCTTGCTTAAAAAAAATATCTCTGGCTGTTTGAAACTATGGCTAGATTTATTATGATCAGATTTATTCCACCTAGGATTGCTTATCTACTTCAAAAAAATATTAAAAAGTAGACACGCCAATCACACGAGCAAACACACAGAGAGTTGGAACCTCAGTGGACAGCTAACATCACAAGAAGAGAACCATTCTACTTTTTTAATAAGTCGGTGAGATTTTCCCCCCCCTAATCAATAAAATTGTTTACAAAAAGGAGCACATTAAATTAACCCTGGTTAGAATCTGTCCCTCTTGTTTGATCAAGGAGAAACTTCCTGGCAGTGAGAACAATTAACCAGTGGAACAACCTGCCTCCAGAAGCGGTGAATGCTCCAACACTGGACATTTTAAAGAAGAGACTGGACAGCCATTTGTGTGAAATGGTATAGGGTTTCCTGCCTGAGCAGGGGGTTGGACTAGATGACCTCCCAGGTTCCTTCCAACTTTACTACTACTACTACTACTACTACTACTACTAGTAGTAGTAGTAGTAGTAGTAGTAGTTTGGAGAAATAGGAGAAGAGAAAGAGAATGGATCTGCGGCTAGATCCAGAGAACAAGGAGTTCCTTGGAATATCCTGGAAAAAACTGGGAATTGCTGTCAAGACAGTAGAGATGAATCAGTGGCCTTCATTAGCTAACTAGCCAGTAGTCTTGGACCCCAGGTTGTTCCACTGGTTAATTGTTCTAACTGTCAGAAAATTTCTCCTTAGTTCCAGGTTGATTCTCTCCTTGATGAGTTTCCACCTGTTGCTTCTTGTCCTGCCTTCAGGCGCTTTGGAGAATAGCTTGACTCCCTCTTCTTTGGGGCAGCCCCTGAGATATTGGAAGGCTGCTATCATGTCCCCCCTCGTCCTTTTCTTCATTAAACTAGACATACCCAATTCCAGCAACCGTTCCTTATATGCTTTAGCCTCCAGTCCCCTAATCATCTTTGTTGCTCTTCTCTGTACTCTTTCTAGAGTCTCAACTTCTTTTTTACATCGCGGTGACCTAAACTGGATGCAGGATTCCAAGTGTGGCCTTACCAAGGCATTGTAAAGTGGTATTAACACTTCACATGATCTTGATTCTATCCCTCTGTTGATGCAGCCCAGCACTGTGTTGGCTTTTTTGGCAGCTGCAGCACACGGCTGGCTCCTATTTAAGGGATCGTCCACTAGGACTCCGAGATCCCTCTCACAGTTACTACTATTGAGCAAGGTACCCCCTATACTATACCTGTACATTTGGTTTTTCTTGCCTAAATGTAGAACCTTACTTTTTTCACCCTTGAATTTCATTTTGTTAGATAGTGCCCAGTGTTCAAGTCTGTCCAGATCCTCCTGTATCCTAAGCCTGTAACTTCTGGAGTGTTGGCTATTCCTGCCAGCTTGGTGTCGTCTGCAAATCTGATGAGTTCCCCATCTATCCCCTCATCCAAATCGTTGATGAAGATGTTGAAGAGCACTGGGCCCAGAACAGAGCCCTGGGGCACCCCACTACACACCTCCCTCCATGTAGATCTGGTGGTGATGCTGCCGAACCCACATTTTTCTATCTTTTCTCTCTTTTCAAGCACCGCAGCCTAAGTCGGGTTTCTACTATGGAAATTAAGGCCACCCGGTTGAGTTTCACGGCAAATGTTGACCGTACGTTTATGGCAGCTAAGTTGCGTGATGTTGTGGTTATTTCTGTGTTTTTTCTCTCAAATCCTAAAAACTTTCAATCTTCTGCAAAAGAATTAAATAAGGCTGGGTAATAAAACTCTTTGTTTACTCGGCTTTCCGCTTTATTTCTCTTCCCGTCTAATTTCCCAGCTGGCCCAAAATCCAGAGTTGTTTGTATTCCTTTCACAAGCCGCAGCTTGCGATTTTGTGACTGTCCTCTCTCTCTCCCGCTCCCCCCTTCATTTGGGGATTAAAATTTTAGTCAAAATCGCTGCGTGTCCACTTTTTAATGCCGTGAAAATAACAAGCAGTGGCGGGTTTTTTTCTGCGCGAAATAAATTACGCGCTAGTCATTTCCAGCGGTTTCGTTATTGCTCTGTTTAATTTGAAAAGAAAGCGGGGCTCAAATGTCTTCCCTAAATGTTCTTTTTGGGGGGGGGTCTGGCAAAAAGGGGAGCTTGTGATCAAACGGGCTGCCGGAAGTCCTTGACTTTTACAACCACAGCCCACCCCCCAAAATTTCCATTTTGGCCCCAGTTGTTAATCACTGCAGTTGTTAAGGACACTGCAGCCATCATAAATGTGAGCCACTTTGCCAAGCACCCCAATTTTTTTTTTTTTTTAAAAAAGATTTTATTGAGTTTTATAGGGTTGGGGATAAAATAGGATCGGGATGGGGGTTAAGGTTTAGGGTGGGGTTAGGATCAGGATTGGGATTAGGACAAGGTTGGGATCAACATTGGGCTTATCCCCCCAATAACATTTTCAGTGTTTAGCAAACAGACGATTGTCCGGGTGCACGTGTTCAGTTAACAATAGTTGATATAGTGATAAATAACTGTAGTAAGTGTAATAAACGATAATCATAAACAGTATCAGTTAAGTCAATGCAATATTCAATGGTGAAAAAAGTAAGGTTCTACATTTAGGCAAGAAAAACCAAATGTACAGGTATAGTATAGGGGGTACCTTGCTCAATAGTAGTAACTGTGAGAGGGATCTCAAGAGTCCTAGTGGACAATCACTTAAATAGGAGCCAGCCGTGTGCTGCAGCTGCCAAAAAAGCCAACACAGTGCTGGGCTGCATTAACAGAGGGATAGAATCAAGATCAAGTGAAGTATTAATACCACTTTATAATGCCTTAGTAAGGCCACACTTGGAATCCTGCATCCAGTTTTGATCATCACGATATAAAAAAGATGTGGAGACTCTAGAAAGAGTACAGAGAAGAGCAACAAAGATGATTAGGGGATTGGAGGCTAAAACATATAAGGAACGGCTGCTGGAATTGGGTATGTCAGTTTAATGAAGAGAAGGACGAGGGGTGACATGATAGCAGGGTTCCAGTATCTCAGGGGCTGCCCCAAAGAAGAGGGAGTCAAGCTATTCTCCAAAGCGCCTAAGGGCAGGACAAGAAGCAACGGATGGAAACTAATCAAGGAGAGAAGCAACCTAAAACTAAAGAGAAACTTCCTGACAGTGAGAACAATTAACCAGTGGAACAACCTGCCTCCAGAAGCGGTGAATGCTCCAACACTGGAAGTTTTCAAGAAGAGACTGGACAGCCATTTGTCTGAAATGGTATAGGGTTTCCTGCCTAAGCAGGGGGTTGGACTAGATGACCTCCAAGGTCCCTTCCAACTTTACTACTACTACTACTACTACTACTACTACTACTATTATTATTATTATTATTATTATTATTATTATTATTATTATTATTATTATTATTATTATTATTATATAATATCTGATGCTGTAACCTGAGGTTTGCACTAAAGGTTTTGTTATTGAACTATTGATTAACCCAGTCACCAGGTTGCTTTTTAAATACTCAAATGTAAAATTGAAAAAATAATAAAATATTTTTTTTTTAAAAAAAAGAAGAGATGGGACAACCATTTGTAAGGAAATGGGATAGGGTCTCCTCCTTGAGCAGGGGGCTGGACTAGATGACCTCCAAGGTCCCTTCCAACTCTTTTCATTGTGATAGTCTGATCCTAGCCTTCAGATTCGCCCACACATCGCTCACTGTGCTTCTCTCCTTCCAGTCTGAAGTCATCTCCCCGTCTTCTGCTGACTGCTCCAAGCTGGACTTCCAGTTCTCCCCCATGGAGCTGCTGGACCCGGCGGCTTCTGGAGACGTGTGCAACGGCAGCACGCCGGAGGGGAAACCGAGTCCCTTCAACCCCGAGGTCCTAAACATGACAGCCGAGGAGCTGCGCCTCCGATACCTGGGACCCCGCCGGTCAGGTTTTTTCGTTCCCGTCTGCACCACCTACCTGCTGATTTTTGTGGTGGGGGCCCTGGGCAACCTCGTGACCTGTCTGGTGATCATCCAGCACCGCTTCATGAGGACGCCCACCAACTATTACCTTTTCAGCCTGGCCATCTCGGACCTCCTGGTGCTTCTGCTGGGCATGCCGCTGGAGATTTACGAGATGTGGAGCAACTACCCCTTCCTCTTAGGGGCCGGAGGCTGCCGCTTTAAGACCCTGCTCTTCGAGGCCGTCTGCTTCGCCTCCATCCTCAACGTGACGGCCCTCAGCGTGGAGCGCTACATTGCTGTGGTCCACCCGCTCAAGGCGAAGTACGTGGTGACCAAAAACCACGCCCAGAAGGTGATCGTCATGGTGTGGGTCCTCTCCGTTGTCTGCTCCATCCCGAACACCAGCCTACACGGGATACAGACTCTCTACGTGCCCGGATGGGGTGTGGTACCCGACTCGGACACCTGCACTCTGGTGAAGTCCCCCTTGATCTACAACCTCCTCATCCAGGTTACCACCGTCGTCTTCTTCTTCGTCCCCATGGCCATCATCAGCGTCCTCTATCTGCTCATCGGCCTGCAGCTGCGGAAGGAGAAGCTTCTGGAGGCTCTGGAGGCCAAATCGGGAAGCCGGTCCGACTACCACAACCTCCGTCTCCAGCAGAAGAAGGCTCGGCGGAGGCAGGTGACCAATATGTTGTGTAAGTTGAAGGGGGAAGGGCCCCGAGGGTCGAGAACCGGGATCGGGCATCTGAGGAGGCTTCCAACTGGGTTGACCTGTGGAAGAAGAACAGGCTGGTGGGGTTGGTTTCCGAACGTTTCGTTACCAGGCTAGGTAACATCTTCAGTGCTAGAAGGGAGGAGGAGGAGGAATGTGGGGTCCTTGGCGCTCTCTGAGCTTGCTTGTTTTCTTGTAGACGTTTCGTTACCCAGCTAGGTAACATCATCAGTGCTAGAAAGGGGTGGGGGGGACAGGAGGAGGAGGACAACAACGATGGCTTGGGAGTCCATGCTGCTCTCTGAGCTGAGCTTAGTGGCTTTTTTTGCAGACCTTTTTTTTTGGTATATATTTTATTAATTTTTATAGAATAACATTCTTTAGTATTTAGCAAACAGCGTGTTGTATTTAAAAAACAATAATAATTAGTTTCTATGTTTTCACAATCAATATGTTAGTTAATAATATGTTTCTTACATCTTCACTTCACCCGATGGTCGTCTTCTTACTAATACATATTTAATGTTACACAGTACATATCACATTTCTTTCTCTCTAACTCGTTTTTCTAGCCATTGATAAAAATCGTCCCATTTTCTAAAACGGGTCCCCAACCCCCCGGTCCGTGGATCGGTACCGGGCCGCGGCATGCCAGCAACCGGTCCGCACAAACAAGGAAAGCCCCATCCACAGGTTACAGGCAGCACACAAAACAACACACACATACTCCGGTCCGCGGAAAAAAAATCTCTCCACAGAATCGGTCCCTGGTGCCCAAAAGGTTGGGGACCTCTGCTCTAAAGTATACTGAATCTTCTTTCTCTTTTATCTTCAATGTCAGCCTGTCCCTTTCTGCACAATCTAAGATTTTCTTAATTAGTTCTTCTTCCGTTGGTAGGTTTTCATTTTTCCAATATTGAGCAAACCACTCATGATTGAACTCTCCGTGGTTTTCTTGCAGACGTTTTATTACCCAACTAGGTAACATCATCCGTGCTAGAAGGGTTTGTGGAGAGGAGGAGGAGGAGAACTGGGGGGTCCTTGGTGCTCTCTGAGCTTGACTGTTTCCTTGCAGATGTTTCATGACCCAAACTCGGTAACATCATCAGTGCTAGAAGGGAGAAGAGTTAGCACTCAGCTTTGCAGCACTGATGATGTTACATAGTCCGGTAAAGAAATGTCTGCGAGAAAACAAGCAATCTCAAAAAGTACCAGGAACTCAACAGTTCTCCTCCTCCTCCTCCTCCTCCTCCTCTCTGCAAACCCCACTCCCTTCTAGCACTGATGATGTTACCTAGTTGGGTCATGAAATGTCTGCAAGAAGTCAACCAAGCTGAGAGAACCACAGTTCAACCTTGAGCTACAGAGATTCTCTTCTACCAAGATTGGACATCTCTGGACTAGATGATTCTCCATAATTTCTTCCAATTCTGGGGTTCCAGGTGAGATTTTCCCCAAACACCCCTGGAACAGGATCACCAAACTCCTCGTTTAGGACTGACTTCCCCATGTCTGCAGATAATCCTCGACTTAACAACCATTCATTGAGCGAGCGTCCAAGTTACAGCTGTCCTGGTTCCGACAGATGAAACTCTTCGAAAGAACTTCGAGGCGTTGTTTACCTTAAAGAATCTTTTATTTTGAGTAGCTTAATATCGGCACTGCGTAATCGAAGCCAAAAACTGAATTCCCCTCCCCTGAGCACATAGTATCAAAGCACAATTCCCTCCTCCAATTAATAGTCATAAATCACACTCCCTAATTAGCTTGAAGCGCCTGGTTACAATAACCTTGATCCTCACACTAGGTTTAGTGTTGTTATGTCTAGCTGGCCTCTCGTTCACATCCCCCCTCCCAGCATCATCTAACTCTGAAAGCAAAAGGTAAAAGATGGCTACATTTGTCTCTGTTGTCCATTCAAAAACATCCAATGTTGGCAGCGTGACAACACCAGCATTAAAAAGCATGACGTAGAGCCGGCCCTCGCCACTTAATGACCGTCGCAGTATCCTCATAGTCATGTGATCAAAATTCAGGCTAATAATAATAATAATAATAATAATAATAATAATAATAATAATAAAGTTGGAAGGGACCTTGGAGGTCATCTAGTCCAACCCCCTGCTCAGGCAGGAAACCCTATACCATTTTGGACAAATGGCTGTCCAGTCTCTTCTTAAAAACTTCCAGGGTTGGAGCATTCACCGCTTCTGGAGGCAGGTTGTTCCACTGGTTAATCCATTTATGACAGTTGCGGTGTCCTGCGGACGCAGGATCCCCACTTGCGACTTTCCCAGTCGGCTTCCGACAAGCGAAGCCAATGGGGCAAGCTGGATTTGCTTAACGACTGCGCGATTCGCTTAACAACCAGGCCAAATAAGGTTGTAAAATGGATCATAATTCACTTAATGGATCATAATTCACTTTCTCAGCCATGGAAATTCTGCTCCCGGACGTGTCATAAATCAAGGGCTATCTCTAGTATTCCCTCCGGTGTTTTATCTATCAATCTTCTAACCTGGTTATTCAATTCCAAAGCTTGCCGAGAACTCCGCTCCGTTCCGGGCAGAATGAAGCCTCAGCAAGCGACGCAAGGGAGGGAAATTGTGAACACGATATCGGAGGGCAGAACTGATGAGCAATTCGCTGCCAAGCTTCAGCACACACGCTCACCGCTATAAGTATTATTGTATGCAAATGCATGCAAATGCACGCAAAGCACTTATCCTCTTTCTATTTTTATAGTGCCATTTTAATACTTAAGACGGGCTCTATTTGTATCGTATTTTCTAAGTGAGCCGCTAAGAGTCAGTTTGATGGTGCAGGCATACAAATGTGCCTATTAAATGCATCCAGTTTTGGTCAGCTTGCTATGAAAAAGATGCTGAGACTCTGGAAAGAGTGCAGAGAAGAGCCACAAAGATGATTAGGGGTCTGGAGGATAAAACATATAAAGAACGGTGGCAGGAATTGGGTAGGTCTAATTTAACGAAGAGAAGGACGAGGGGGGACATGATAGCAGTGCTCCAATATCTCAGGGGCTGCCCCAAAGAAGAGGGAGTCAAGCTATTCTCCAAAGCACCTGAAGGCTGGACAAGAAGCAACGGATGGAAACTAATCAAGGAGAGAAGCAACCTGGAACTAAGGAGAAACTTCCTGACAGTGAGAACAATTAACCAGTGGAACCACCTGCCTCCAGAAGCGGTGAATGCTCCAACCCTGGAAGTTTTTAAGAAGAGATTGGACAGCCATTTCTCTGAAATGGTATAGGGCAGGGCTTTTCAACCTTTTCACCCATTGTACCACTTTTAGGATATGGCAGCATCTGAGTACCACCAGTCACCTAGCAAGGTGTCAAAAAACTTGATGACCCCCCCCAAAAAAGGAAAAAAGTGATAAAGTACAGGTAGTCCTCGATTTACAACAGTTCGCTTAGTGACTGTTCGAAGTTACAAGGGCACTGAAAAAAGTGCCCCCCAAGCCACAGCCGAGCAAGACACCTGCCTGCCCGCCCGGCGGCACTCTTCCTCCTGTCCGAGGTTTCCATTGTTGTGAGCATTTCTGTTGAGGATTGGCAGCGGGGGTGGGGTGGGGGGGTGTTTGGTTTTTATTCCCCCCCCCCGTCTGCTGGGTGGTTGCAGCAGGTTTTGGTCCCTTCACATGACCCTGGGACACTGTGACTGTCATAAATATGAATCAGTTGCCAAGCATCTGAATGTAAATCACAAGACCCTGGAGAGGCTGTAACATTCCAGCTGATCGGCGCTTCTTCTGGGCTCAGCGGAAGCACCAGGATCAGCGCCGAGGTTCAGCTGGATCCTGGTGCTGATCCTGGTGCTTCCACTGAGCCCTGACAGCCCCGAAGAAGCGCCGATCAGCTGGAAAGCGGCACTGATCCTGGCGCTTCCGCTGAGCCCTGACAGCCCTGCAGCTCTAGCCGTCTCTCGCTCAGACTTGTGCGGTGCTGCCACCGGTTCAGCCCATTCCCCTCCCCCGCTGCCACTTTTCTAGGATGGTCGCGTACCACCTGCCAGGTGCCAATGTACCACAGGGGGTTCCCCTACCACTGGTTGAAAAGCCCTGGTATAGGGTTTCCTGCCTGAGCAGGGGGTTGGACTAGATGACCTCCAAGGTCCCTTCCAGCTCTGTTATTCTGTCTTAAAGTCTACATTTCAGCAGGAAAGCAAAGCGGCTGATTTGAACAGCCTTTCAAGTACGTGTCACTGCTCGAATTGTGTTTCGCCCCTACAAATGAGTTTCCCCCCTGCCGGAGGGAAGAAACGGGCGAACAAAATTGAAGCGTGGCAATCAGGCAGAAAATTAGAGGCTGCTGGCAGACCCGGAAAAAAAACGCAGCATTGCGAAACATCTTTGGCATTTTCACAGCCTACATCCGAACAAGCTGAACCTGGTAATTGAATTAACCCCGGAGTCTCTCCGTGAGATTGATGGGCGTTTTTTGAAATCGGATGAATAAACGTAAAAAGACATAAATCAACCTCTTTTTCCTGAGATGGCCCAATGCGGGCAGCCGTATACCGACAAGCAGGTTGGATTTGCGCAGCACACCAAGAGATACACTGCACACTGAGAAAGATAGCCCCGGGTTTATAGGCTCCAAAGTTGCTGGGGCTGTGTAAATGCAGATTTGGAGATAACATTTGCCTCCAGAAGCTGTGGATGCTCCAACACTGGAAGTTTTTAAAGGAAAGATTGGACAGCCGTTTGTCTGAAATGGGATAGGGCTTCCTGCCTGACCAGGGGGTTGGACTAGATGACCTCCAAGGTCCCTTCCGAGTCTGTTATTCTGTTATTCTTTTTTCCTTCCTTCCTTCCTTCCTTCCCTTCTTCCTTCCCTCCTTCTTTCCCTCCCTCCCTCCCTCCCTTCTCCAATACTGGAAGTTTTTAAGAAGAGACTGGACAGCCCTTTGTCTGAAATGGGATAGGGCTTCCTGCCTGAGCAGGGGGTTGGACTAGATGACCTCCAAGGTCCCTTCCGAGTCTGTTATTCTGTTATTCTTTTTTTTCCTTCCTTTCTTCCTTCCTTCCTTCCTTCCTTCCTTCCTTCCTTCCTTCCTTCCTTCCTTCCTTCCTTCCTTCCTTCCTTCCTCCCTCCCTCCCTCCCTCCCTCCCTCCCTTCTCCAAAGCTGGAAGTTTTTAAGAAGAGGCTGGACAGCCCTTTGTCCGAAATGGTATAGGGTTTCCTGTCCGAGCAGGTGGTTGGACTAGATGACCTCCAAGGTCCCTTCCAATTATTATTATTGTTATTATTATTATTATTATTATTATTATTATTATTATTATTATTATTATAGTGAGCATTCAAAGTTGCAACAGCACTGAAAAACGTCATTTCGCAATCAGTCCTCGTCTTTATGACTGTTGCAGCACGGTCTCACGATCAAAAATTGGGGTGCTTGGCGACCAGCATGCATTTATTACAATCATGTGATCACCATTTGCGATCGCCGTCCCAGCCCAGCTTCCGACAAGCGAAGTCGGTGGGGGAATCTGGATTCGCTTAATGAGCAAATGATTTCCTTAACAACTGCAGTGACTCCTTAAAAAAAATATGGCACAAATTGCCTACACGTCCCTTAACAACTGCTTTACTTAGCAGGGGAAACTCCATTGTGGTTCCAATTGTGGTTTGTTAAGTTGAGACCTACCTGTACATCTATAGAAAGGACGTTGTCAGAACGCCAGATAAGACGTGTAACCAGAATATTAGACTGTTGCTAGGAAAAGGGAAAAAGGGAGAAGTTGAGAGATAAGGGAAATTTTGGTCACCTAAATATAAACTACTTGGAAATCATAAATAATAGTGTTAATTGGAATATTGATGGGAAATTAAAGCCTGGAAGGGGGGGGGAAAGCAATAACAGGACATTGATTCTATACAAGGATGAAGTGCAAACGCAATTAAGATACGTATATGCTAAAAATTATTGATAACTGTAACGAATACATTTTTATCTAGATGATGATGATGATGATAATAATAATAATAATAATAAAGTTGGAAGGGACCTTGGAGGTCATCTAGTCCAACCCCCTGCTCAGGCAGGAAACCCTACACCATTTCGGACAAATGGCTGTCTAGTCTCTTCTTCAAAACTTCCAGTGTTGGAGCATCCACCGCTTCTGGAGACAGGTTGTTCCACTGGTTAATTGTTCTAACTGTCAGGAAGTTTCTCCTTAGCAGATATTAATGGGAAAAGAGAGGAAATATTTGATGTTGTAACATGAGATTTATACTTAAGACTTATGTCTGGAGGCAGGTTGTTCCACTGGTTAACAGTTAGAACAATTAACCAGTGGAGCAACCTGCCTCCAGAAGTTTTTAAGAAGAGACTGGACAGCCATTTGTCCGAAATGGTATAGGGTTTCCTGCCTGAGCAAGGGGTTGGACTAGATGACCTCCAAGGTCCCTTCCAACATCATCATCATCATCATCATCATCATCATCATCATCATCATTATTATTTACACTATTGAACTATTGATGCAAAATGAGAAAATCAATAAAATATTATCAAAAGTAGCCATGATGACCCCAGAACATACATGGCAATGTCATGTATGAAGTCGCGTGCCCTGCTTTGCCTCTCCCTGTGGATGCTCAGGGCAAGGGCCCAAATGTCAGAAGGGCCACCCCTTTCCCACAAACTTGCAGGCAGCAACATAAATCATGTGAGAAAGGACCAAGCTAGAGGTGAACCACTTCCATATTTTTGCCAGCAAAACTTGTTGGGCTGGGTCCATGAAGAAGCAGGGTTTGAATTTTATTTTATTTTTGTTTGATTTCTTTGTGCCCCGTTTGTGTTCACTCGGCAGTGTTCACTCGGCAGTGAACACGATCCAACTCCTCTTCCTCCACTGATTTTTTCCCCCTGCAAGGTGGGTTGGGCTGTGAGAGTGCGTGACTGGCCCAAAGTCACCCAGCTGGCTTTCATTCCTAAGGCGGGACTAGAACTCACCGTCTCCTGGTGACTGGCCCAAAGTCACCCAGCTGGCTTTCATTCCTAAGGCGGGACTAGAACTCACTGTCTCCTGGCGATTGGCCCAAAGTCACTCAGACGGCTTTCAGGCCTAAGGTAGGACTAGAACTCACAGTCTCCTGGTGATTGGTCCAATGTCACCCAGCCGGCTTTCATTCCTAAGGCGGGACTAGAACTCACCGTCTCCTGGTGACTGGCCCAAAGTCACCCAGCTGGCTTTCATTCCTAAGGCGGGACTAGAACTCACCATCTCCTGGTGATTGGCCCAAAGTCACTCAGACGGCTTTCAGGCCTAAGGTAGGACTAGAACTCACAGTCTCCTGGTGATTGGTCCAATGTCACCCAGCCAGCTTTCATGCCTAAGGCGGGACTAGAACTCACAGCCACCTGGTGATTGGCCCAAAGTCACCCAGCTGGCTTTCAGGCCTAAGGTAGGACTAGAACTCACAGTCTCCTGGTGATTGATCCAAAGTCACCCAGCCAGCTTTCATGCCTAGGGTGGGACTAGAACTCGCAGTCTCCTGGTGATTGGCCCAAAGTCACCCAGCTGGCTTTCAGGCCTAAGGTAGGACTAGAACTCACAGCCACCTGGTGATTGGCCCAAAGTCACCCAGCTGGCTTTCAGGCCTAAGGTAGGACTAGAACTCGCAGTCTCCTGGTGATTGGCCCAAAGTCACCCAGCCGGCTTTCATGGGTAAATCAGGACTAGAACTCACTGTCCTGGTGATTGGCCCAAAGTGATTGGCTCTACAATCCTCCTCCTCCTCCTCCTCCTCCTCCTCCTCCTCCTCCTCCTCCTCCTCCTCCCGGCATTGATGATGTTACCTAGTTGGGTAATGAAATGTCTGCAAGAAAACAGACAAACCCCACAGTTTTAACCTTGGGCTAGCTTCTCCATTGATTGGCTAGAACGGAGGAGGTTCTTCTCCATTAGCCAATCAGTCCCAAGCTTTTCCTCCCCGATAACTCTGCTTCCCTGTCCTTGTCCCCCCAGTCGTGCTGGTGGTCGTGTTCGGCATCTGCTGGGCCCCCTTCCACACTGACCGGCTGGTCTGGAGCTTCGTCACTCACTGGACTGACCGGATGCAACACATGTTCCAGTACATTCACATCATCTCGGGGGTCTTCTTCTACCTGAGCTCGGCCGCCAACCCCGTCCTCTACAACCTGATGTCCAGCCGCTTCCGTGAGATGTTCAAGGACGTCATGTGCCACCGACGCTTCCAGAAACTGGGCTCCCACAGGCGCTCGCCCAGCAGCGTACGCACCACCGTGCGCAGCACCGTTTTGGAGCCTCTCCCAGGCGGCCACGGGCTGCCCCTGTCTGACCCAGAGGACAACGAGGGGGACCTTGCAGGGGACAACGTAGACGAACGAGAAGACCCGTACCTCTGAGGGCTTTCCCCGACCGATCGGTCGCGTCGGTTGCCTTTCACGCCAGGCGCTGAAGTTTGCGGCTGGAATATGTCCTGGACTTAACAACAGTTTATTAAGTGGCCGTTATTAAATTACAACAGCGCTGATAAAAGTGACTTAGGACTGTTGGGCTGTGGGTTCGATCTCCGAGCTTGATGATTGGGCTGCAAAGATTTTGTCTCCGTTCGGGGTGGAGGGACATCTTCAACGTGCTTGGAATCGTGCTCGTCTGTCAGAGCACTGGCCTTTAAATACCTTTATGTCTGATGTAAATTGGTACAATTGACTTAGGGCCGTTTTTACATGTCTGACTGTCGCAGCGTCCCCGGGGTCACGTGATCAACATTCGGACGCTTGGCAACTGACTTGTATTTATGACAGTGGCAGTGTCCCCCAGAGTCACGTGATCCCCTCTTGCGACAAGCAAAGTCGACAGGGAAGGCCAGATTTGCTTAACGACCTTAACGGCTGCGGCGATTCGCTTAGCAACTGTGGCAAGCAAGGTCGTAAAACGGGGCAACGCTCCCTTCACTGTCTTGCTTAGCAACGGAAATGTTGGGCTAGGCGGCGGTCGTAAGCCAAGGACTACCTGTGCAGAATAACAGAGTTGGAAGGTTCCCTGGAGGTCTTCTAGTCCAACCCCCTCGTTCAGGTAGGAGACCCTATAATACCAGTGATGGCGAACCTTTGAGAGACCGAGTGCCCAAACTGCAACCCAAAGCCCACTTCTTTATCGCAAAGTGCCAACACGGCAATTTAATCTGAATTTAGTTTTAGTTTAGGAAAAAAAACAACTTGTACATTAACATCTTTTGTCTTAAAAGAAAAACAGAATAACAAAGCTTTCAGTGATACAAACAGCTTTTTACTGAAAGGTAAAACGTTTGCATTTGGCACGCTTTTGAACAATTAATGTGATTTTTGCTGTTGTATGCCTGCTGATCATTTGTCTAACTTTGGCTTATACTTTGTAAGTTTGAAAGCAACACACGCAGCACTCAGGTCATCTGTTAGTCTTGTTTCTGGTGTCAGATTTGATATAATTCAAAGATGAAAAGAGTGTGCTCGCTCCAGAGGCTTGTTTTGGCTAGGAAGGGGCTTGAGAAATGGCTTTTTCCTGCAAAAGCTTAGCCAAAGAGTGAGGCGCCCGTGCCCACAGAGAGGGCTCTGAGTGCCCCCCCTCTGGCACGCGTGCCATAGGTTCGCCACCACTGCTATATACCATTTCAGACGAAAGGATTGTCCAATCTCTTCTTAAAATCCTCCAGTTGTCATGGGTCTGAAAGAAGAAGCTTTTCAAAAAACTTTGAGGCCTAGTTTACCTTAAAGAATCCTTTTATTGCTACATAGCTTCGGCACATACATAATGAAGCCAAAAACTGAATTCTCCTCCCCTCAATCACCCGTAACAAAGCATAACTCACTCCTTCATTTAACAGTCATCAATCACGTTCTCCAATTAGTTTGAAGTGTGAACTTTCCCTCCCGTAACTCCTCTGGTTACAACTGACCTTGGAAATACTGTACTGAAATATTGTTATGGCTAACTATCCCCCCGAGTACATACTTCCCCCCCCTCTCTTCTAACATTGTCTGACTTTAACTCCAGAAGTGTGATACCCAGGTTAAATAAAACATGTTTGCTTCTTCATATATTGTCAAGCAAGAACATCCGATGTTAGCAGCCTTGACACCAGTGCTGGAGGACCCACAACTTCTGGAGGGAAGTTTTTGCTCCATAAATTGCACCCATCCACGACGAACCGAATTGATAGAGCAGCTAGGCCGGTAACAAGCTTTAAACTAACCAAGCATGGCAGGTTGTGTGAACGCAATTGTGTGAATCCTTAACTGAATTAAAGGTGACGCGGGAACCACACACACAAGGGAATGTAAACACTTTGGGGGGAAGGAGGACAGAATCCTGATACTTTGGCTTATTATGATCCCAAGGTCAGAGAAGATGGCTGGCATCGCATAACGAATAAATGACCCATTTGTGTGAAAATTGTGTCATTCTTCCTTTACGGGGAGACCTCGACTCACACCCTTTTCATTTCGTGACCGTTCAAAATTACAACGGCACTGAAAAAAAGTGACTTAGGACCGTTTTTCATGCTTAACCACCTCATGGTTGCGGCATCCTCGTGGTCGCCTGATAAAAATTCAGACCCTTGGCACCTGACTCGTATTTATGACAGTCGCAGTGTCCCCCAGGGTCACACGGTCCGCTTTTGGGACCTTCTGACAGGCAACGTCAATGGGGAAGCTAGATTCATTTAACAACCGTGTTCCTAACTTAAAAACAGCAGTGATTCATGGCAAGGAAGGTGGTAAAATGGGGCAAAATTCACTTAACATGTGTTTTACTTAGCAACAGAGAATTCGGGCTCAACTGTGGCCGTAAGGTGAGAGCTACCTGTCGCTCTTATATTATCTTCACCCTTAAATGTTTTGCAGGTGACTGTTAATTGTTAAAAGGGATTGCTGCCTGTTCTCTTTCTGGAATGAAAACGAAGCTTGATACTCTTTACACCTTGTGAGATTGATCTGTCTCCAAAAGGAATAGAATAGAATAGAGCTGGAAGGGACCTTGGAGGTCTTCTAGTCCAGCCCCCTACTCAAGCAGGAGAATCTATACCATCTCAGACAGGTGACTGTCCAGTCTCTTCTTAAAAATCTCCAGGGATGGAGCGCCCATGATTTCTGGTGGCAAGCTGTTCCACTGGTTGATTGTCCTGTTTCTGAGGCAGCGCGATTGCAAAGAGAGAGAGAGAGAGAGAGAGATCAAATTGTTGTTTTCAATCTTGAGTGCAGAACCAGAGGGAATTTCAGCAATTTTTTTTTTTAAGATAACACAATTGTAGATCAGACGTTGCTTGCATTCACGAGATCGGTAATGAGCTAGCAGCTGTCCACACACAACAGAAAGAAAAGAAGAAAAAGAAGGACATTGTGATTCAGCCAGTCTTTAGTGGTTTTTCATTTCCTCACTTCAAAAGGGATTGCAATCCTCCTCCCTGGATTTTCAATGCATAATAATAATAATAATAATAATAATAATAATAATAATAATAATAATAATAATAGTAATAATAATAGTAATAATAATAATAAAAAAGAGAAATATTAAGACCAGAATAGAAGAGCCTAATGCCGGTTGCAGCTCAGCATTGTGACTCTTCCTGGCTGACCACACACACACACAAACACACAGTGAGCTGGGAATCCATCAGTTCTGGTAAGTTTTTCCTCTATGGGGTGACTGTGTTTTCTGTGGTGCCTATTGGAAAGGCCTGTCACATGGTTTGAAAAGTGTCTGGTCCTGCTTCTCCTCTAAGGAATCTGAGAAAATTATATAGAATGTTGGTAATTTGTCTTAAAAGGGGAGGGTGGACTCATGAGCACAGGGAATAATTCAAACAAAGCTTCTATCTATCCATCCATCCATCTAGCACAGTGTTTCTCAACCTTGACAATTTTAAGGCATGTGGACTTCAAGTTCCAGAATTCCACAGCCAGCATTGCTGGCTGTGGAATTCTGGGAGTTGAAGTCCACATGCCTTAAAATAGTCAAGGTTGAGAAACACTGATCTAGCATGTCTCTATCATATCTATTTATCTATCTATCCATCCATCCATCTATCCATCCATCCATCCATCCATCCATCCATCCATCCATCCATCTATCTATCTATCTATCTATCTATCTATCTATCTATCTATCTATCTATCTATCTATCTATCTATCTATCTATCTATCTATATCATGTCTATTATCTATCTCCATATCTATCCATCTATCATGTCTTTAACATCTATCTATCTGTTATCTATCTATCCATCTGTCATGTCTTTATCATGTATCTATCGATCTATCTATATCCATCTGTCTATATCATCTATTTGTCTGTCTATGACTACCTGTAATTTCACATTTAAATGAGATTTCTTCCCCCACCTCTGCTGCAAATGGACGATGACTTCCAGATTTTAATTCTTCTTCTTTATTATCATCATGATCGGAAGTTATGACAGACTAGGATGCTCTTCAGACTAAGGACACCTAATTTACTCAGGTTATGCAACCATAGTGATTAGCATAAGATTCAGGATGAATGGAAAACTGCAGATTCTCATCACGGTGACCGTCTTATTTCTGAATAACTTCTTCCTACTCCTTAATTAGATCCAGTTGCAGCGCGTTCCTCTTCTGTGTAATTCCCCAGCTAAGAAACAGGAGCTGCCCCTGGTGATTTATTTACAAAGGGAAAGAACTCAATCTGCACCTCACCCATCGCCTAGGCTTTGCATGGGGGAATATATATATATATATATTAGCACTCAGTCAATATTCATATTTATAGAGCGTTTTAGCTGTTGTGAAGTCAGAAGATTCCTTCCAGCTCTTATTCTGAATCTTAAAATCTAATCTGTGTGTGTTGCACTGTGCAATTTGACAGACCAAGCAGAAACTAGTTGATCTGTGACTGCATGCCTCTTTTTTTTTTTTAAATACTTTTGACAACTCCATCAAAGTCTGATTTCTTCCTTTGTTCGTTTTGGGTTTTTTTTAAAAAAAAACTAGCAATTTTATTCCGAGCCCTCAAATACCGATCAGGAAGCAAGCCTGATTTATGGGGTGTGTTGCAACGTAGTGATTGTTAAAATGCTAACGGAATAACAAGGATTTCAATCAGAATAGAGCTGGAAGGGACCTTGGACCTAATCCAACCCCCCTGCTCAAGCATTTCAGACAAATGGTTGTTCAGTCTCTTCTTGAAAACCTCCAGCGATGGAGCACCCACAATTTCTGGTGGCAAGCTGTTCCACTGGTTAATTGTCCTCGCTTTTAGGAAGCTTCTCCTTAATCCCAGGTTGCTTCTCTCCTTGATCGGTTTCCAGCCATTGTTTTTTGTCCTGCCCTCTGGTGCTTTGGAGAATAAGTTGACCCCCCTCTTCTTTGTGGCAGCCCCTCA